TCTCTCTCTCATTTTATATTTGTATGATATTTATTTTACAGTTTCGGACTCACTTAGGTAATCATTATATTCCATTTTTAATCCTATCTTTTCACAGTCTACTTATGCCAACCTGTTCTATCTAGTGTTAAAAAACTAGTATTCAGCTATTTAAGGAGATCAAGAGACAGACAGACTAGCTATTGTTCCTCATTAATTGGTGTTTGAACAAATTGTTTTAGATATTTGCAGTGGTTTCAAAGACAAACCTTTGACACCAAGGACAATAGATTAGCACCTCAAAGGTACAGGACAGGACAATGGCTGAGCTGCAGAATCAGGAAAGGAATCAGGTTTCAGATAAATAGTTTACCAATTTGTCATAGAGACCTTTAACAGAAGCATATTAACAAGGTGAAGGTATTAAAGGGCATGGCTTGAAGGTAGATGTCCTCCCTTTTAATTCCAGGAAACTTTTGTGGAGATATTTCAAACCAATTCTTATTCTTGTAAATCGAAATTCCTCCCGCATTCCATTGGTAAGGCATCACTGCTGCAAACATGTTTTCTACATGCTAGACAGGAGGAGAAAGAAAACTTATTTCTCTAGCTTCAAAGTCAAATTAGTATTTTATTAAAGGGTTTCAAGGCCTTAGCTGAAGTATTACACTTTACACCTTAGCTGAAGTATTACAGTGTACCTAATACTCTGAAGTATTAGGTATTTCAACACAAGATCCCTGATCTATTTGGAAAGCTGGCTATGTGGCACTCTCAGGTGGGTAAACAATTTTAGCCAGATTGGAGTCATTTTCAATCAAATTAATTTAAGAAGGATACAAAACTTCTACATCATTCAAGCTTTTTTTTTACAAAGAATTGTCAAGCATGAGAATTATTACAAATTTGTATTCAGAAGAAACACATTGTTTCCTTTATCCCTTATACCAGTGTTGCGGGCCAAAAGCGCACGTGTCCACATCCATGATACAATGCACGCAAGACCCCCCTCTGCCCCCTGCCCACATGTACAGACACACACCTGTGGCTCATTTTGGGCCTAAAGCACCATTTAAAGAAATCTGAATGATGATAGACACTCAGTCCCAAAAGTTATCATTAGTTGGGCCTATTGATTCAAGGCAATGGGTCAAGAGAATCTCCACAACGTCATTCAGACTGGCAGGAAAATTAATCCTAATATAGCTCTACTCTCCAGTGGTCCCAAAGGGGAAAAGGCCCTGTGGTACCTACAATTTTGCTTCTGCTCCCGCCCTATAGAACCTGTTTTATCCAATCTAATAATAGGGCTAGCTCACGTAGAGCATGAACCCATGAAGGGACAGAGCTCATATGCTGTGCAGTTAAATGATGCCAGGTTCAATCAAGTTCAGTATAATATTAATAATAAACATATGAAATCCAGTTTAAACATCTAACCAACTATAATTTTTCCATTGGCATCAATGGAAAAACTATAATTTCCAAGTTTCCTGAATGTGATGCAATCAAAAAACTGAGACAAGCTGAAAAATTTTGGGGGGGGGGAATCATGCTAACATTTTATGGGAGTTTTGCACATACAAATTGATCACTATCTACAACACACTCCTTAAGAGCAATACTTGAAAAGAACCATTTTTGTAGAAGTGGAAATTATCAAGGCAGCAGAATCAAGCAAAAAAATTGGGGGGGCGGGAATGGTAAAACATAGAGTTCAAATGATCATAATAGTACATCATGGCAAATATCTACAAAGGCAAAGAGGGCCTGGCAGAATATATCCCGGCTGGAAGCAGCAGCGCTCTGGACTGCAGATCTTCATCAGAGCCGCAGGCTGGAGCCATGCAAGTAGCCCGCTCGGGTGGGGAGGGAGGGAAGTCCTTGCCCGTCCTTGCCACCGCCGCCCCCTCACCCTCGGCGGCTGTCACAGTGTTTCTTCTGGCTGGGATGCTGGAGCAGCCAGAAGAAGGAGAAGCTGCTGTGGGGGAAGTAGGCAGGGCAGACACCGATTGCAAATGCTTCTGGTGCATCTGATGGAACATGTAGAACGACTACTGGGACCTGAGGTGGCATGGACGTAGGCAACATGCCTGGCAGAGGCAGTAGCAGCAACAGCATTGTAGGGGGCAGAGGATAATGCCCAGGGGTTTCTCCATAACTCAGGTCAGGAACATGGAGCCAGGAAATGGGTCTCCCAGGGCATCGGCTGGCCAAAGTGCAGGCCTTCGCAGGCCGCAATAGAGAAAAAGTCTGTGCGCTGGGCGGGGTGATTGCGAGGCTTGGGGCCTGGTGCTGGCCAGCTCGGCTACCCCACCAAGAGAAGCGCTTTCCTCTGTTGTCTCCGAAGGTGGCGGGGCGTGGCAGGCGCAGCTGCTGTGAATGTAAGTGGAAGGTGCTGGGTCCATTCCTTCCAAAACGGTCAGTTATATTCCTCCCTGGGTTCCGTCTCCCAGGCTGGCAGAACAAGAGCCCAGGGCTAAGCCCATCGGCCACAGCCTCCATTTCCAAGAGCAGGCTGTTCAGTCACCCCCAGTGAAGTCCGGGAGACAGCAAAGAGCCTCCGGAGGGCGGGGGAGTCTGTTTTTGCCTTCTCCAAGGTCCTTGAAAGCCTCTTGAGCCTGGGGAGGGTGAAAAACGGGTCTATCGTGGGCCAAAAGGGAGGGGGTTGCGTGTGCATGCGCAGGGTGTGCGCGCACATGTATGGGCAAGGAGGGTCGCACGCATAGCATTATGGGTATGGCACGCCCGCGTACGGCCCCCTTGCGCTCCCCCTGCTGTTAGTACGGGAGCCCAAAAAGTTTCACCATCGCTGTCCTAGAATATCAATCAAATGTGTGATTAGTTTTGTTTCATTTTGCTGTATTGTTTCTTAATGAATAAAAATAAATAAATAGCAATGTCATTTATTGTTCCAATTCATTGGTTATAACATAATGTACAGTTATCCAAGAATAGAAAAGTTATGCCTAAAACCCAGCATTGCTGCTGTCAGTCAACGCAGAGAATTTTGCAGCAGACAGAGCAGTCTCTTTTTTTAATCATATTGACTCACTAAATGTATTCATTTAAATATTATTATTATTATTGTCAGTCCCTCAAGGTACATCAGACTAGGAAACCAAAGATATGAATGCTAAAACTGTTTTTTATTATTATAGTTACAATAACATAATCTTTCAAGTCTGCATATACTTGCCCCACCCCCTTCCTCCCTTTGTCTTCACAAGAACGTGGGAGGATTAAGTGTGGGACAATTTCTTTAAGTGTGGGACAATTTCTTAAGTACTGTTGGAAGAAATGTCCTTCTGAATTTAGTTCCAAGTGAGGAAAAAGACACTAGATATATAGAAGTTGCTTGGAAAGAAGGTTTATTGATGAACAGGATCACATGGTTTGAGATCCTGGGCAAAAAAAAGTTTAGTTTAGTTTTAGTTTTCGCTTTATTTGTATGCCGGAGAGATCCTGAGAGAGCCTGGGTTTTATGCCCTCTGTTGGGCTTTGAATTTGAGCTTGTGTTCTGATTGGTTGTCAGACTCCCATGGGGCCATGCAGGAGTAATTTGTAGGTTCTCTTTTGAGTCCCAGGCTTGGTTGACTCTTGCTGAGTGATGATGTAATGAAAGGGCTTTGGGCAATTCCTACTATGGCTCTACCTGAAGGAGGTAGATCTTTGTTAATGAAGAATAGACTGGCTCAGGTCTTAATGACCCATTGACAAAGTGGGGGGGGGGGAGGTTGTAAGTTTCCCTTTTAGGGAAAATACTCTGTTCTTTTAATATTTCCTAAAATATCTCATTTTCTTGGAGAATGGTGGGTGCTAACTTCCTACAGTACCAAAAAAGAAGAATATTTGTACCTCAGACTTGAAATGAGGCCTCTTTGGTGCTCTCTGAGCTTGATTTTTTTT